AGGGATGGGATCTGAAGCTCGACGAGAAGCCAATGGTTACGTTCCAAAACAGGGATAAACACATGCAATCATAAGTAATAATTCATTCATTTGCGCACTTATTTATGAATACCTTTAAACTCAATCTAAAATAAACACTAACCTTATCGACCTCCCACCATGCAGGATAAAGTTTAGCTTGTCCATTGCCCAACGCAAATGATTCATCTCGTTGATTCTTCAAGTGAACTGCGTTAAAAGCCGTCGGCATTATTGTATACCGTGTATTTCTTTTATTTTCCTTAAGTTTCCTAATTATTAGTAGACGTGACACCCACGCATCGATATGCTGTTTTACAAAAAAATACATATATTAGTGAATTACATTAATTTTTAAACAAATTAATCAAATGAAAATATAAGAAAAATATAAGACTTACCCCTCCATCGAAATAGCCATTGTCTTCGACCCCTAATAATACGCCCCACCAAGACCGATCAAGCAACAAATAGATATCATCATTGAGCTTGCATATGTCAGTGAAACACCCCTGGCTTCGCTCATGTAGATAAAAATCAACTGCGGTCTTAGCCCAAAGGGTGTTATCCAGAATTGTGTCCGGTAATTGTTTCCTCTCCTCTTCAGATACCGGTATGGTACTGGCCGGTAACTCATACGAGAGCCAACTTGAATCCATCATGTCCGGCACGTCAGAGGGTTTCTCAAGAATCCTACATATGACGCCATGTGAATCGGGCTCTTGAATGGTGGGAGGGACCTCTTCAACGATGACAGTGGCCTCTTGAACGGTGGGAGGGGACTCTCGAGGAATGATAGGGGCCTCTTCAACGATAGGAGTGGAATCTTGAGGGATGATAGGCGAGTCGGGCTTCTTCTTGCGGTGTCTTCGCACTATTGGGGTATACGGAGACTTAATAGCACGTGCACGCCGTCTGATGCGTGAACTCTATCGTGCAAGAAAAACCCGACGTAAAGCATCCACCTTATCGGTCCGCTAAATAAAAATACAAATATCAGTAAATAAACAGACATGATATTTAAACAGTGAAAACAAAGATAAATATATTTCAAACTTTCAACCAAAAGACAAAACAAAGACAAATACTAACTTCACAGTGTTAAAGTAAAAAGTTTAGCAGTTTTGGCAGCAACCGAATAAATTTACTAAGCAATCTAAGTGAAATGGTTAATTTAAGTGAAATTACGAGTAAATTTATCATCAAGTTAAATATGGAAAATCTTAAACTTACCTCGTTGCGTAGAGTATGAACCTCATTCTGCAACGATACTACCATCTCACGTAGAGCGGCAACCTCACCACGTAAAGTAGACACCTCCACACGCCATGCACCATCGTTATCGCGTAGAGTACCGATCTCCTCACACAAGGCATTGACCTCATCACGTAACTCCCTTGACTCATCCCGTGGAGGTGGAGAACAGGGGGATAGAAGTCGTGGCATCTTTGTCGGTCGCCTATCATGAGGTGATGGTGGAGAAGAGACTCGATGATGTGACGGGATAGGTGATGGCTCTCGTTGTAGAGGTGTACAGTCGGGTCGATCAGGTGATGGCTCTGGGTGAGGTGATGGCTCTCGAAGTGGAGGAAGTGGAGGCTGCTCATCATTCGTGCTATCAAAAAAACGCTGACTAGCTTGCCACCAATCAGTGGCAAGCTCAGCCTCCGTGGGTGTCAGTCTCATTAATGGAGTGTTGGCCTCCTAAAAATATAAAAACTAAAACAAAGTTAAACGTCTACTATTAATAACTTGTTTATATATGATAGTATTTGTGTTAACTTACATTATTTATTGTCGCATATGGTATTAAGTCTTCCCAATCCAACATACGTTTCCTCTTCCAGGAAATAGCCCTAGGAATATCATCTGAGGATTTTAATGCATATGTCCGCATGCTGGGGAAAGCCTCGAATATCCAAATCTACAAACAATATAATAACAAACATTAGTAATTGTTAAATAATTAATTATAATTTTGAAAACATTATATATAGAATTCTTACCTTAAAGGCCCAGACAAAGCCTGACAAAGTGTATTTCGACCCATCGCCCCGCAAACTTTTGCGGTCATCAAAGGCAGACGACAACTTAGTCCATGTAGCTTTCCATATATACGAACCCCACGGAAATAGATTCCATGCATTTAGGTCCTCTACCAATAATATTAGCTCCTGAGGAATAGGTTGTCTGGCCTCTCTGCCTAGAAAGCCGGCATACAAAAGTAGTAGAAGGCATACTCGGACAACATCGACGTCATTCATCCGAGTAAACCATCTTTCTTATTAAACAATTTCTTCATGTCGTCGACGTGTAAGTTCGGCTTCTCTATTGACTCATCAGGAAAAACCCTGGATAACCATGATGGGCGGGTGATATGACGAGTGTACCGGCCTACATCATCGTGTCCGAATCGTAGACCAGTGATTAAGCAGAACTCCTTCCGCCCAAAACAAGTATACGCCGGTGGAAAATGAAACCATATCTCTTCCTCACCACGTTGTATACTGTCGGGTAGATCGCTAGTCATGGTCTGAAGCCACAAATGGGTCAAACTAGCATCTCCACCCGGATGCTGTACTCTCAGCCATGGCCCGAAGCAGGTTTCTTCAAAAAAATTTCTTTGTGCAAGTGAAAGCTTCGAAGCAATTGTAGTGGCTAGGCTAACTTTATTCCTTAATGTCAATGAAGCCGAAAAAAATTTCTACAAAAAAACAATAAACATACCAAGTTAGATATACCAAAAATTACACTGTCAAGATATACCAAAAACAAAACAATAAACATAAATAGTAGTTTATTCTTGAAACTAAAATTTGCAACACTGTTTTTGTCTTTTGGTTGAAATGAAAATCGCAACGAGATAATGAGAATCGCAACGCGGAAATGACTATCGCAACGAGAGAATCGCAACGCGAAATGACTATCGCGACCAGACAATCGCAACGCGAAATGAAAATCGCAACCGCGAAATAAAAATCGCAACGCGAAATGAAAATTGCAATGCGATTTTGGTTTCGCGTTGCGATTTTTATTTCGCGTTGCGATTATCTCGTTGCGATAGTTATTTCCGCGTTGCGATTTTCATTCTCGAAACTATTCTTCTTCTGCATTACTTCAACCAAAAGACAAAGCAAAGACAAATACTAACTTCACAGGCTAAACAGTTTAGCAGTATTGGCAGCAATCGAATGAATTTAATAAGAAATCTAAGTGAAATGGTTAATCTATTATTGAAATTACCAGTAAACTTATCATCAATCTCAATATGAAAAACCTAAAATAATGCAAAAATTTCAAAAAAAAAAACTAACCCTCGGAGGTTGATTTTCCATTTCTGAATGATTGTGAGGGATTTTTGACTGTGAATGGTTGTGAGGGATTTCGCCGGCGATGGGGACGGAAATCTTCGGAGATGGGGACGGATTTCGCCGTAGAGAGTGAGAGATGGAGATGGGACTGAGTGTTGTGTTTTTGGGTTTGAGGTTATGAGTTGCGATTACTGTGGACGGTTCATTTTCCGATTTATTAAGAAAAAATACGTGTTTGGAATTTGAAAAAAAAATATGCGTTAATACGAATGACGCTATGTAAATCGCGTTGCGAAAGTCAGTATCGCGTTGCGAAAGTAAGTATCTCGTTGCGATTTTTTATTATCGCATTGCGATAGTCAGTATCGCATTGCGATTTTCCCAATTCGCGTTGCGATTTACTTATTCGCATTGCGAATTTCCCAATTCGCGTTGCGATTTACTTATTCGCATTGCGAATTGGGAAAATCGCAACGATACTGTAGACCATCGCAACGCGATTTTCAACTATCGCATTGCGAAAATGCAACGCGAATTTGCGATAATGGAGATCGCGTTGCGAATTAGCGATCGCATTGCGATTTTGTTGGTCATTTTGGCAAATCCGGAAAAAGTTGGTTAAAATCGTATATTATATGAGATTTTTGGTCACTGAGGTTATTTTCTCTAAAATAAAAGGTTAAACTACACAAATAATCATAATATTTAAGTAACTTTTCGTTTTTCGCACTAAAGTTTTAAAAGTAATAAATTAATCACTAACATTATTGATTTGTAATAAAATGGCCATTCCATCACTATCTCTATTAAATTGATGACGTGACAACGTTAACAAACATGTTACTAATATTTAGTTTTACCCCTAAGCTAATACTAAAACATCAAATAGGTTAATTGAACAATAGTTTTATATTTAATTTACCCAAAAGTATTAATAAAAAATTGTTCATACTATACCTCTTTTCATAAATGCATAGAAGGTTTAATATAAAAAGATCGTTCATATTATATCTCTTTTTCTATTTAGGTGTCTAAACTTTTTTTGGTCAATGTAGGTGTCTAAGATTACAAATGTTACTATTTTAAGTGTTTAGTCCGTAACGTCCGTTAAAAAATTCTGTTATCGGACACCGCCGTTAACAAATTTTCAAAGTTTCCCAATGCTAAACTACTTCCTTAATCTTCCTTTGAAATGTATTTTATTGGAATTCATTTGGATAGTTTGGGTTGGTTGAAGAATATCTTATAGACGTAGATTCATATAATAGTGTTTGTTGGAGTTATTTTGTGATGGTCCAAAAAAAAAAATTTCAAGTCTTTGAAAACACAATAAAAGATGGAGTTGTTATCGGTCGTTTATGACTAAGTACGACCGAAAAGCAGGATCAAAAGTGGGTTAGTACTTTGCATGAGAGACAGGGAGAGACCAACAATTTCAGGCACATTTATTTCAACAGTGAGTCTGAGACCAAAGAACAACAGATATACATGTTCTTCACGAAATTGCTCCACCTGAGACCAAGTTTCACTTGATGGTTCATATCCCATGTTTTAATGGAAGCTCAGAGTCATCACTCAAACCACATAAAATATGATACAAGTATAGGCTATCAACAAATACAACAAGATTAATGATAACAAGAATCCAGCTATGGAGTGTTTCTCTGAATGCTATACAGACATTGACGAACCGCTTCATGATGGGGCTGACATCGATGTCTCTGTTTCCGTTGTTCTAAACCCTGAGTAGGACTCCTGGCTGATTTCATTCAGTCTAGCAGAAGAAAGTTCAATCATGAACCCTGCAGATGATGAGCTGCTCACCTTACTGTTGTTATTCATAGACTTATGATGGTCCCTAATGGCTTTAAACCTCAAATCTTGATTGTAACTACCCGGATCAGGGACGATTTCCGGGATGTCGGTTGTTCCTTCTAGCATGCCTACTACTTCAGACATGGTTGGCCTTAATGAAGGTGAACCGTTTGTACATAAAAGAGCCATTTTAATCATCCCTTCTGCTTGTGCCATGTTAAACTCAGTTCCCAGCTTTTCATCCACCAATTCTAATAGCTTTCCATTTTGCTGTAAATTACAGGCCTAAAACATACATAAGAATAGTAAATTTCATTTCAAATCTTAAAAAAATATATAAAAGACTCATCGTTATGTGTGTGTCTATATGTGGTAGTGATTACCCAATCAAGAAGACAAGTATATTTATTCTCTGATCCATAGCTCATATTGTGCTTCCCACTGGCAATTTCCAAAGCCAGAATTCCGAAACTGTAAACATCTGCCTTATTTGTCAAGTAACCCCAGAGTGCATACTCTGGTGCAATATATCCTCTGCATTCAAATTTTATCAGGTTCATTTGCATTCAATTTGAAGTTCGGAACAGATTCATTAACTAGAAATGTAGAAAAAAAGATTAAAAAATGATGAGTGGCTTACATTGTTCCGGCAATTCGTGTGCTGATGTGGGTTTTTTCTTCCTCGTGAAGCTTTGCCAATCCGAAGTCGGAAATTTTAGGGTTTAGGTCTCCATCAAGCAGGATATTGGTACCTTTGATGTCTCTATGAACAATTTTGAGTCTAGACTCTTCATGGAGAAATGCTAAACCTTTAGCTATCCCAGTACAGATCTTGTGCCTGGTTAGCCAATCCAGGTTCATTCGACTATTTCTTGGGCCTAAAGAAAAATCCCAGGAAATATTACATAGGAAAAGCAATCATTGTCCACTTCTTAAGGTTTTTCTTCCATTTTCTTAATCATCCAGTTTAAATCTAGCGGGTAAAAGATGGATGAACTTACCAAACAAAGCCCGAGAAAGGCAATTATTTTCTAGGTACTCATATACAAGCAACAATTGATTCCCTTCAGTGCAGCATCCATAAAGCTTGACAAGATTCGGATGTTGAAAACACGATATCATACCAATCTCGTTCATGAATTCGCGATTGCCCTGACTTGATTTCGAAGATAGCTGCTTCACTGCAATTACTGTTCCATCAGCAAGCTGACCCTGAAATCCAATAATGAAAATATTCTAAGCATAATCTGTAAACTGAAACCCCATATTAAATCTGTGTTCTATACCTTGTAAACAGGTCCAAATCCACCTTCTCCGATCTTGTTCACAGAATCGAAGTTATTGGTGGCAACCTTAATTTGCTTTAAAGTGAAAGACATAATTTGAACATCTAGGCCTTCAGGATCTGCAAAAAAAAAAAGGAGGAATTACATATCTAAATCAAGTAGGTACCTTGTCTTAAAAGGTAAAAGCTTAACAAAGCAAACCTTTTCCTCGCAGGTTCTTGGCTTTAACATAGTACCTCCACCAAAGGAAACATGATCCGAGGACTACGAGAAATGCTACTACGATGCCAACAACGATTGGCACAATATTGTTGTTCTCTGATGGTTTGAAATCTGGATTTTCTAAGGAGATTGCTGAAATCAGTGGACCATAGGTTCCTCTGTCAGGGATTGCTTGAGTTCCTTTGCCAGCCCAGTAAAATCGTATCTCGAGTCTGTTGTTTGTTACACTAACATTATATGGTTTTGCATATGGGGCAAGAACTGCTTTAGTTTCCACTACGATGTCGAAATCTTTCTCCACAATCTCATCCTGCCAGTGCCACATTAAAATCAAGTCCAGAAACACATTGTTGATAACCCATTAACGCAATTATGCATCTCGATTATGATCATTTACCTGGATATAGATATCAAACAATCGCCTCCCGAGGCTTGCATAGCTTGCATTATTTGAGAATTGAATCTCAGCAAAGTGAAGAGTCACAGTATAATTCCCATTTTCCAAACAAAATTGATAATAAGTAAGTGAAACTGCAGACAGTCTTGCTGTAGTGTATAATTCAGGGAGGTCCGGTGAACTAACAACTCTAGTGAAACGTGCTTGTGAGTTCAGTTCATCATTATCGTCTCTAAAATCTCCGGTACTACTAAACCCCCAGTTATCATTATTCTGATATAATGTTGCAGCACCACCAGTACCAAAGGTTCTATCTCCTATGTAAGTTTTACCGTTCATTGTCACATCGTCGCCACCGCAATTCACGTACAAAGAGTGTGAGTCTGAAATGGGAGACAAGTACTAAGCTACATAGGGATGAGCATCACACATTCTGTCAAGACACAACTCCAAACAGCGATTTAAATTGCAATCACAGAGACGTTTTCATGTTAACCGCAACCAAGTGCTGTAAATATTAGCCGACTCAGAAAGCTTGAATGGAAAATACAACTTTAATATCATATTGCAATCTCTGTTTAAATCCCTGGTTGCAGGTGAAGAAGCTAACGGAAAATGACATCAAAATACAAGGTTACTGAATAAAATTAAAACTTAAAGCAACATTTTCAGCATACTTACATTTTTCGCATTTGAAATCGTTCCTGCATTGAAACACTTCGCCCCTGTTATAAAGATAGACAAGAGGAAATTACTTAATGTTAAGAAAAACTTATCCTAAACTTTTGAACCATTTAATGAAGAATGGACTATGCTTAGACCATGCAATCCATTATTTGTGTTTAGTTACTGTTTAAAACGTTATATACAGATACAAATTTCGACAACATAATTCATGTTATATCGATCTCAAATTCGTAACATGTTTGTGTATTCATTTCTTTGGGATCTTTTAACATACATAATTGATGCAGTAAGAAAAGCAACTTACAGGTTTCTTGATGAAGAACTGCGGAACAGATTAACATTATTCCTATTTTAAAACAAAAAAAACACACACACAATAGAAGTTTAGTAATTATGGAAAAGTCATATGGTAATTAGACATTTTCTCTGCAATTAAAGAAATAAAAGAAGACCAACAATGGCTGACAAGCAGGCTGCTCAGGGCTTTGCCATGTGAAATTATTGTAAGAGAGATCCCTGCCAGAAAAATATGAAAATTAGAACCATCTTCTTAGAGTAAGTGCCAGTGATGAACAACTTACAAACAAATGTTGTTGTAAAAAATACATACACAGTCATTCCTGTCCTCAAGATTGATTGTGGTATATTTCCACTGAGATTGTTTCCAGTTAGAAAGCTGAATGCAGCATGCAAAGTGAATATTTCAAGTTTTACAGAAGATAAAGTAGGAAAAATTATTGGTATGATGGCCTAGATGATTTGTTTTATCAAAGGAGAAAGATGGGAAGTAGAAGAAACTTACAGGAACTTTAACTCTGTAGTGGGTATGGCGTTTTCAAGTTCTCCTGTTATACTGTTGAAACTGAGATCCCTGTCCATAATCGTAAGAAAAAACATCCATGTTATGGCTAACCACCACCACTCTTCCAAAACCCTTTTAGTACCTGAGAGTTACTTATAAAGAGTACTCACAGCATATGCAAGTTACTCAGTCTCCATACATATTCAGGGATCTGTCCAGAAATGCTGCATTTCTTTAAAATTCTACAAAATTCAAGATTTTGGCCATTTCAAACATTCTGATGCTAGAATTTTGTAAGTGAAAAGGTAATCAAAATGAGATGAACATAAAATTACACAGAAATTCAACTTCATTATCAATTGGAATCTGAGTCAATATAGAGATTATTCACAAAACATTTTTGGAATTAGTAAAAGATTAGAATTGAACGTTACATTCGTCTGATGCGTGTCTGGCTCCTCAGATCAGGAAAAGGCTGATTTGTTCCATTTATATCACTTATCATCCTGTAAACAAATATAATATTGAGACAAAAACATTTAGCAAACAGAAAATTCAGTAAATTTATGTGATTTTATCTTCTTCTGATTGTGAAATTGAGAAGTTTTCGCTTACAAAATATTTAAGTTTTCCAAAGTAGAAACGGATGATGGAATAGGTCCTCCAAGTCCACTACCTTGAATTTCCCTGGTTTTCCCACATAAATTAAAGAGAGAGAGAAAAAAATATTTCCAAAAGTACAAATTTGATAGTTAAAATCACTATAGAAACCTCTTGAAGATATCTTACAGTCTTTCAAGTTTGGTCCAATTCTGAATGAAATCCGGTATACTGCCATTCAAGTTGTTGTCATTTATCCGACTGCATTTCACAAAATTAATGTTCATAAATTGATTAAATGTTTTCACTTGTTTTAATTCAAATTAGCATAATGATCTCCATTAAAGAGCTTACAAATCTGTCAAGTTCCTCAGACCAGCTAGTTCTGACGGTAAATTTCCACTCAGTCTGTTGGATGATAATCTTCTGCAAAAACAAATGTACAATGTCTTTCAAAGACTATTAAGAAACATTGCAAGACTGAAAAGAATAAAGCTCTATAATCCAAATAAAAAGTATTTCAAATGTCTTACAAAGTTTCCAAGTTCGCCAACCGCCCGAGGTCCGGCGGGACTTGGCCTGAAAAATTGTTTACTTCGAGGTCCCTGTAAGATAGATAAACTAAGGCTGTGTGCTTAAAATCCTAACTGAAGGAATGTAAAACATATGATTGACCAGTCTAGCTCTCACAGGAATCCGGTTTCCAAACATCGTTTCCATTAATTAGATTACTTAAAAAACTTACAGGTACTTAAGGGTGCTAATGTTCCCCAGAGATGTTGGGATTGTACCGGATAATCGGTTTCCGAAGACAGCTGCAGGAAGGTTATCCGGTCAGGCGTTAGCTCAATAACAACCGATTATGGTGAACAAGAAAGTAACCGAGGCTAACTCACATTTTCTCCAACTGCATTGAACCCCATTCATTTGGTATTGAACCATTCAGGTAGTTATAAGAAAAATCACTGCAGGCATTCCAACAAGATCTTAAGTTTATATACTAGGGAGGAACACATGATTTTACAGTAAGGGACGCATTTATAGAATTTTAGGAGAAAGTAAATGGCATAATGATAAAATTACCCCAACATTTGCATAAATGATCATTTTTGGCTCTTTTTCTTCTTCTTCTGTTATTTTTTTTGAGTATTTTAACTCTAATGTTTAAATTTTTGGTCGAAATAACCCTTATTGAAATGGAAGCCTTAGTTTACTACCGATCAAATGTGACATTTTCACATGTGCTTCATTGGTTATATGATACTTGTCCCCTTATCATTTCGGATGATTTGACACATATCACGTCATCATTTTCAGGTGACATAGCACAAGTCAGATCATCACTTTGAGTGATGTGACACATATCACGACATCACTTCGACTGACATAATATCTACCACGTCACCAATTAATTACATGTAAAAATGACACATCAATAATATATTTTGACTGTTAGTCAATTAATGATTTTCGTCTAATATGAATTATTTTGACTAAAAATTGAAACGTTTGGAACTAAAATGTTTCAAAAAGAAATAGGGGTCAAAGTGACTATTTATGCAAATGTTGAGAGTTAATTTTATCATTATACCAAAATTGATGATAAATACAAAGAAAATAATTAAATTATATAAAAATTTAAAATTTTCAAATAAAATGATCGTCTTGTCAGCCTCCTCGATCCATTTATGTAGGCCATGCAACGTGAGAAGAGAGAGAGTTGTGTTGCTTACATCTCTATGAGACGAGGAAGATTTAGTAGCTCAGATGGAAGTACACCAGGAAGGTTGTAACGTTTAAATATTCTGAAATTCGTAACAAGCTCACTTTTAGTCTCTTATCACTGTGTGTGGATTCAGGAAAAAAGTTAAACAAATTAAGCCTATTGTCACGGCAAGCATGAGTTGCCCAAGAATTGAAGAAGGATTTGGAAAACCTACAAACGTGTGACATGGCAGGTTTCATTCTGGCAGCCGCAGGTAACATTCATCTGAGGGTCATACTCTGTGTCCACGGGGACTGTTCCATTGTCACGGCAAGCATTTTCATCAAAGTTCCAGTTCATAGCCCCCATTGTTCTTGCAATCCTATTCAAAACTCTCACTGTACACAAAACACAAAACCCATAACAAAGAATCCCACAAAAGCTCGATTCAATTAATCTCTGCATACCTTCATCTTCAACCAGTGTTGCAGCATGTGTTCCAATCCAACCCAGGGCTATAATAGATGATAGCAGAATCAGAGCCTTGACAGACTTCATCCTCCTGCAAAAAATTCCTTCTTCCCTTTCTTTCTTAAATAAAATATTCAAATCGTTTGACATGTAATATATCAGACTAAATTTCAGCGTTATACAAGTCAACTTAGAATACGTTTAAACACCTTCGCCTGCCATCGTTATAGTCATCATTGACATTTCATCCCTTAAGATTGACTCAACCATAATTATTAAATGCCTTGCGGTTTTATGGGAATTCCTGGACGTGTGTCGTTTTCATACCGTGTAGGTTATTTTAGATTTTCAACCGCATTCATGACCAGGATCGGCTGTGCGTGTCGTATAAGAATTTTTTTTTATATATATGGGTTAACACATAGGAGTGCAAAAAACTTTTATCTATTGATCTGATATGTTGATCCAATTTAAAATTTTAGATATATTTTTTGATTTTTGCATAATTTGAATCAAATATTTAGAAAAATTTGATAATCGGATCAAATGCATATTGATTAAATTTTAATTTTGAATTATCTAAAAATCTAATAAAAAATAGGTCTTTAAAGTTTAAATAACCATTAGCCCAATAAGTAAGTAATTTACTCATCTACTAAAGTTGTAACCCAATAAAAATACTCCATTTATTTAATTTAATCATTAATATATATAAATTTATATTTTTAATCATTTAGTTGTCAAAAAAAGTTACTCCTTCTGCCTTATTAATTTTGTAAAAATACTTCATTTATTTAATTTAATCATTAATATATATATAAATTTATATTTTTAATCATTTAATTGTCAATAAAATACTCCTTCAGCCTTATCATTTTTGTCCCATTTTTACTTTGTATATAAATTTTAAGAGAGATAAATTTGATCATATATTAAATTAAATAAAAACAACAACAAAATTATCCCGTGAAAATAATTTATAGGTTTGTTTTTACATAAAAGAATGAAGGTGATTTTACCTAAAATATCACCCTGACAGGTAATAATTACCTGTCAGACACATTTTCTCTTAATTTTACTGATCTAGCACCCTTTCTGACAAGATGCAGATCACCATCCACGTCTTTACGGGATTTTGTCCAAGCTGGTGTCACATAAGAGAAGGCGCGGATCGTCAACCACGCCTTAGCTAAGACTCTGCTATATTCTGACAATGTGCAAATCGTCATCCGCGCCTTAACATTTTAAAAAAATATGCTTTAAAAATTTAAAAAAAATAAAATTATATGGACTAACATTGTAATTTAATACATATTAGTTCCATAAGTTGAAGAGATTAATGGGTTTAGCTTATATAGTGTTTAGGCTATGTTTCTTGACAACGTGGGATAAAAGTTAAAAGGTATGTTTCTTGACAATATGTTTAGGTTATTCTATCGTTTTCATTACATTTTTATTTCAATTATATATATATAAATATAATAAGAAGTTGATAAATTATTATATATTCAATTTTTAAGTTACCTTAAATCAACTCAAAAAATAAAAATGAAAAAAATAATTGGGGTATGATCTAATCTTTCATATGCAAAACATGAACAAATTATCATCAAGATGTTTTCATGCTAACATGAACAATGATCTACACATGCTCTCCCTATTACCATCTCTGTATTAACTATAAAGATTTGATACTTTCAAACAGATAATATATGAAATAACATTCAAAAGCCGACCTTAACAGGATGTTAGGAATGGCCTTGCCCGGTAATGGTGATTAGTGAAGCAATAAAAAAAAAAGCAGAGATAAAACATTTGCCAAGAATAAACAGAAAACTTTCTACAAAAACCCATATTTATAAACTACTTAGAAACTGACATTAGAGTCCTCATGCAACTAACAAACACCACATTGCTCTATGCTATGATTACTCGAGAATCATAGCCCTAACCTATGTTTGAATCCGTCCAATATTTAATAGATCCTAATTCACAAGTGATACCACTTAAATCCTACCACATAACATAAAAAAATTGCTAGTTAGGCCATAGCACCACCAGTTTGATGTAGCATTGCATCGATCTCATCCCCATCCTCCATTTCCAACTGTAGCAACAAAACACACATATATATTATCCATTTGAAAGTATCTAATCTTTATAGCTATTGCAGAGATGGTAATAGGGAAATCATGTGTAGATCTTTGTTCATGTTAGCATGAAAACATCTTGATGATAATTTGTTCATGTTTTGCATTTGAAAGAAGAGATCATACCTCAATTATTTTTTCACTTTTATTTTTTGAGTTGATTTAAGGTAACTTAAAAATTGAACAAATAATAATTTATCAATTTCTTATTATATTTATATGTATATAATTGAAATAAAAATGTAATGAAAACAATAGAAGGCAACTCATGGAAACATAACCTAAACACATTGTCAAGAAATACACTTTTTAACTTTTATCCCACATTGACAAGAAACATAATCCAAATATGCCTATATAAGCTAACTCCATTAAACTCGTTAACTCATAGAACGAATATGTATTAAATTATAATGATAGTTCCTATAGTTTTATTTTTTAATTTCTTAAAGCATGTTTTTTTTAAAATGCTAAGACACAGATGATGATCTGCGTCATCCCTTACATGGTGTCAGCTCGGACAAAACCCCTGAAGGTGCAGATGGTGATCCGCATCTTGTCAAAAATAGTGCTAGATTGATAAAATTAAGAGAAGATGTCTAAAAAATAATTATTACTTGTCAGGGTGATATTTCGATAAAATCGCCAAGAATGAAACATAGGGAAAATGTAATGGTTATTATTTGTTAAATTTTCTATTTGAAAATTTTGAATGGAACAATTTTAAAATTTATAAAGGGGCGATTTAAAGAGAAAAATATAATAAATAGATTATGTAAAAGGCATAATGACACAATTACTCTAATGTTTACACAAATGTTCATTATGTATTTATTCTTTTTTATATAATTTTACTTTCCTACGTTTCAATTTTTTTATCAAAATAGATCATGTTGGATGAAAATTATTACTTAACTAACTCTCAATACATGTTACCAACACAACATTTTCACGTGTGATTAAGTGATGATGTGGCATATGTTACATCATTCAAATTATGATATGATATATATTATATCACTTAAAGTGATGATGTGACATATATTATATTATCAAAATAATGATATGACATATATCATATCGCTAAAATAATGACATGATATATTTTAGGTTAACAATTAAATACATATAAAAATATCAAATCAATAATATATATTAAAAATTAATCAACCAATAATTTCCCTCCAAAAATGACTATCCACTTGCTTTTATTTTCAAATTTTGATAACTTTATATATCAAAATTTTTTATTTTCAAATTTTTTATTTCAACATGTAACGTACATACATAAATGCGTTCACTTGTTTTGTCTTGACTTTTACTTCCTGTCGCTCATTTACTCATTATGAACCCAACCAACATGCCATCATTCAATGGTTCTTAAAATTTTAAAAAAATACTATTATTTCCAAACTACCAGATGATAAAATTTTTTAATGAATTTTTTAATTTAATTTAATATACATATTTTTTTATTTTTTCTATAAAAATGTAAATTTCAGGAACGAACCGAATACAATATTATAGTTCCATTGGCCAAAAATAGTGAAGGTGGGCAATGGGGACTTCAACATTTCTTATGTTTCTTTGTTCACTTGTTCTTTCCCTTGCTGCTGTTGTTCTTTCAAAGCATCCTGCTGTTGATGTTTATCTTGAGCGCAGATGTAATGAAGCCAGTGGAAATTACAGCGCAAACAGCGCTTACGAAGCCAACCTCAATAGCATCATCTCTCGATTCTCCACTTCCACTGAATTCAATTACGGGTTTTTCAATCTGTCAGCTGGTGAAAGCAGCAGAGACAAAGTTAACTCAGTCGCACTTTGCAGGGGTGACATGAACCAAGCCGATTGCAAAACTTGCCTCAACTACACCGCGACCGAGCTCAAGCGATTCTGTCCCTTCAACAAGGCCGCCACCGCTTGGTCCGAATTGTGTTTGGTGAGGTACGCCAACCGTGACCTGTACGGGCTGTTGGAGAACGATCCTCGCATTTGCGTATTCAATCCCAGGAATCCGTCGTACCCTGATCAGTTCAATGACGCGTTAAGCGATCTATTGGATGACCTCAGGAACGAGGCGGCAGCTGCCGGTCCTGTACGCAAATATGCAGCCGGTAATGCATCGGCTGGTGGTAACCACGAAAGGGTGTACGCTACGATGCAGTGTACTCCTGACATGGACCAGCTAAATTGCGATACTTGCCTAGCTTTCGCTCAGTCTGAGCTTGAGAAATGTTGCTATGGAAGAATTGGATGCAGGGTTCTTAGACCAAACTGTGTCTTGAGGTTTGAGTCTAACCCATTTTATAATGAAACTGCGGTTCCTCTGCCGTCTCCTCAGCCATCTCCATCCGGAGGTAAAAGATCGATTCAACAACTGGAGTTCTGTATGCATGGGAGGATAAAGATATTTATAATACTGATCATCATCGCTTGAATTATATTAAATGTAATAATTGTTTGTGTTCTGTAGGAAATGAGGATGAAACAACTCCAACTGTAATAATCGTGATTGCTTCAGTTGTTGGCGTTCTCATACTAGTTTTCATCTCCATGTGCATGTTAATGAGACGCAGGAGAAACAAACCCGTATCAGCAAATGTGGAAAGTAAGTAAATTGATTCACTAAAATATACAATTAAACAAAGACCAAAAAAGGATGCTAATATACCAGCTATGGAAGAAACTGTTACAATAATTATATTGATTCTTTTGCAGCTGCGCCAGTGGATAGTGAGATGTCTGGCATTGATCCCTTGCAGAGTCCGCTCATAGAATAGCATCATCAGCTCTTGCTCGAGACTCTACCTTCTATCTTTACAATATAATAAAAATATAATATTGTAAGCTAGTGTTTATTATTTATTGTTTCAGTTGTATTTTAAGTTTTTTTAATAAAATTAATATATTTGATAAGGACGAGTCTACGGCGAATGTTTTTTTAACAATAACAAATGGATTTTTTTTTTTTGGTGATAAAAGAAAAAACTGTCTAAACTAATGACTTAGAGCTTGTCCAGGTTGTCCTTCTTCATCCAGCAAGTCTTTCAAACAGATCATGCATCTTCCTTTATCTCCATTTCGTTCTATCTTTGCCATTCCATCTGCTATCTTATTACCTTCCCGGTGCATATGAGTGAATCGAATCTCCCAGCTTCTTTGAATCATCTCTTTGATATGGTGTCCCAGCTTTAGTTCCACCTCCATTCGAGTCTTCTTTTGCAGGATTTGCCATGCTTCTTTATTGTCCGTTTTGACTATCAGCTTCTCCACGCCCAACTCCCACGCACTCCTAAGACCTTCTAGGACTCCCTATAACTCTGTTTCTAGGATTGAGCATGAGCCAATTACCTCATGGAATCCCATCCTCCATTGACCTTAATCGTTTCTCAACACTCCCTCGCATGTAGCGAGTCCGCTTGTGCCGTTTCTCGTGGCATCTGTATTCATTTTCATCCATCCTTTAGGGGGGAGCTTCCAACAAGTTTATGTGCGTGTTGCTGGATCTTATTCATAATAAAAGGTGTAAGAAATGTAGACTGCAAAATTCACACATTAGCATTGGCAGGACAAATAAACAATCGAATCAACTGAAACCACTGCCTTAGAAACAAATTCGCCTGATATGTGTAATCCTGCTTCAGGCGGATTGTCCCCCGAGGTTAACACTGTCGCTCCAAGATTTCGTACACCCGAAATCGAAGTGGACTGCGGTGGTATTGCTCCTCTGATCACCGAAAATATTTAGAAGCTTAGAAAGATTTGAAAGAGTTGAAAGATGTAGTGAATTGGTGAGTTGAGAAGCTAGCAATACTTCTCTATTTATAGGTTGCGCGTTAGGGGGAAAATGGTCCAACAAAAAGTAGATTAATTTTTGTATTAAAACCCTGTCTGAAACCACTGAAATAACCTGATGAACCCGGCTCCAAAGCAGTTCAGATTCAAGATATAATTTACATAAATTTTGTAATTACTTTTGTAACTCTCTTACTGTTATAACTCCCATCATAACTCTTATAACTGGCATAATAAACAGTTGATTACTGGCTTGAACATAGTTGTAAAAACTTCCAGGTACATTCTAATGTTCACATGTTTTATTCCAAAAACCGACTGATTTAATTTTAAATTTCAAAAATTAATATAGCTGAAAATATAAAATTCGAACAGACCATTTGAGCAGCCTATAAATACCAGAAATAAATTCTTTCACAATCTGTTATTTGCTCAGAAAATTCTTTGTGGATTTTCTTAAAAGATAGAATCCATGTGAATGTGTCGAAGACACGTTTTGCCATGTACCACGTGCCACGAGCATGAGTCGAGACAAAAAGGATGGAAGACGACGGTAGCAACACTCGAGATTGCCCCTTGTTCTCTATTACTCAACAAGGGAGGGAAGAATGCAAACTATATATACCCAAGCAAGTGGTATTTCCCACTCTATGTGGGATAGTATATTTTGCGTTACCAACAAAAGGAATCAAAATTACAATGCATCAAAATATAGAGAAAATTTTGGAGACAATAGTCACCAAAATACTCATATAAAAGAAAAAAAATTATAACTAAAGATATGAAGAAAATTAAAATCTTCCGATGAGAATGAAGACAAAAATCAAAACCCAATAACTTTCATAAAAACTCATTGTCTCCGTCGAATTAGATGCTTGAACGAAAGGATAAAGGAGTGGAGAGCGGACCAAATAATCTGACAGGCTGCTGCCCTACATAATCTGATTACATCAACAAAAAAAATTTATCAAAAGAGGGATATGACTATATGTGACCACCGAATAAATAATCAGAATATAAATGTTGCAATAGTTTTTGTGCAAGAACTAAAACGACCGCAGAGGTATGCGAAAAATGTACCAACAACCATGAGGATCATGCCACAAGAATAGAGAAAAATCATGTCACAATGAGAGAGAATCTTATTCAAAATTAAAAAGACTCGAGCAAAAAAGATAAAAGACATAATATAAAAAACAAGATAATTAATAGGTACGCGCGGTCAGCAACCAACAATACGATTGGTGCCATAGCCGACTAAACAAAAATCAAAGAGAAAGACGAAGATGACACAAATATTGAAATAAAACTAAGTTGAAAGAAAAGAGAGGCGATAAAATATTGAAAGCAAGTCAACAAAAATAATTTTTGGATTTTTAATTTCAATACAGTTCAAGAAGAGCAATGCGCTACCTAAAAGGAAAAAAATCGAGAGTTAGAGAAAGAAAAGAATGAAACAGATCAATCTGAGGCGAGCTTACAAGCGGAGGAAGATGTTCAAGGTGCAACAGCCATAAACAAAGGGTACCCCAAGATTCCTGGGAAGCTGTCTTATGTTGTTATAAATGCCAGTGGATCGTCTATGGCCAAGAATCCACCTATCAAGATGCAAGAAGAAGAGATAGTATTCCAAGAGGGAGATGTTACCATGGACAACACTGAAGAATATCCTATAATAAGATTCTCTCATAGAATACATGAATTGATAGATCAAACTATGATGCAAGTTATTATCACTAGACTGCTGGGGAAGAAGATATGATACAAAGCTCTTATAAACATAATTAATGCATTATGGAATTCTGTGGGCAATTTCAACTTGATAGATCTTGACAACAATTATTTCTTAGTGAAATTCGAGAATCTTGATGATTATAAAAGAGTGCTTACGGATGGCCCATGGATGAAATATGGGAGCTACTTGATGGTGAAACCATGGTCCAGAAATTTCACCACAGCTGAAAAACACCCATCACAAGTCATTGTTTGGATTCGTCTCCCTGGCCTACCATATAGATATTACTCTACTATGATGATTAGCATAATTGCTAACTCTATTAGAAGAGTTATCAAAATTGATTACAATATCAAAGTTGGGGAGAGGTAAGTTTGCTAGAATTGTGATCGCCATCGATCTGAATAAACCTCTTGTTTTATGCGTGGGAATTTATGTAACCCCCTAGACTCGACCTATGCGTTTCGACTAAGTCTAGTGGATCACATTATGATTCTTAAAGACATTTTCTGAAACCGTTATTCAATCAATGTAAAATCACATTATAAATTTCATGAAATAAATTATACCATCAAAACCCAACTTGTAAATATAATACCAATAAGTAATAAATTAATTTAAAACAGGTATTCAAAATCAAAATCACAATAAATCGAACAGTAATAGCAAAAGTGTCATCATCCTAAAATACGATACTTTAAAATAAGGTCCATGTCACCGAAATAAAGTCAACTAGCAAGATAAAACATTACAATCAGATATACTTCAAGAGATATGTTGATCCTCCAAGTGCTCGAACCGATGTATCTAACCAACAGTATCTGAAAGGGGGAAAACATTTTCAAAAGGTGAGCTAGGCTCAGTGTGTCCCAATATTACCTTAAAATCACAATAGGTACATTAAACAAATCATAGTCCAGTAAATCTCATAAATTCATAAAAGAGTTTAACTTTTGAAAATCATAGTTTAAACTCTTTTCTTGTACACCATCAGTAATTTCCAAAACTATTTTCCATATAGCTTACTCTAAGCACACAGCAAAAAGAAAGCCAACCTAAGGATAAGCTTTATAGCTTGTATCCTTAAGCCCGTAAGTCCAAGTCCATATAACTTACCCTAAGCACACAGCAAGGGAAGCCAACCTAATGTATCTTGGGGCCCCAAGAGTCACATTAGACCCATTCTGTTTATTAGCTTGATCAGAGTTATACTATTGTAATTCAATCCAAAAGTTCAATTGCACCGTGACACAAAATTCCATAAATCATCACATTAAATTGGTGCATCAATAAAACAGTAACCAAAGAACTCAGTATATACCTCATATTAAAACCAATAAAACAGTTCAGTAATAATTAGGGAACACACCTCGATAATAGGTTCAAATAGTAGATCTACTGATTGCTGGTTTCACCACGCTCTGCTACAGTTTTCGAACCTATTTTATAATAACACTATATTACTTATGGGTAACATAAATAAATCTCTAAAATCATAAAATTTACGGGTCTTACGGGTGAATACTGGCACACGTGGTTTAATTGATCTAGAAGAGCTGGGTCAAGCTGTCGAACGATCCGGAGAGTCTCTTGTACCTTCAAACAATAATAATTTATCAGCTCCAAATCTTACTTAATTGTTCAAAGCTAAAATTCTTAAGTATATAAGCATTTTCAGGGTTTGACTATCAATTTGGAGGATTTGGGGTTTGAATTTGGCCAAACGAATTACAGAATCGAAATCAGGACATCGAAAAACATAAAGTATGTCTTTTCGAAAATTTAAATTCTTGGTCAAAGTCAAAGTCAACCACTTTGACCGTCGATTTGGAGGCCTTCGGGTTTGAATTTGATGAAACGGACTTCGGAAACGGATTCGGGACGTCGAAAACTATTAGAATAGGTATACTCGGAAAAGATTAATGGTCGTTTAATGGTCGATCAAAGCCATTTTAAGTTTTGGTCAAAGGAAGTCAACGGTCAACGGTCGGGTCGGGTCAGACCGATTCAAACCGGTCAAACCGGTTCGAACCAGTCGAAACCGGTTTTCAGCCACTCACTCTCCCTGCGGCGGCGCATGTGGCGCGTGAGGCCTTCTCCGGGGGTCTAAAAATTACGGAAAAATTTCTAAAAATTATTTTGAGCGATTTCGAGATACTTACAAAGATCGGTTCAAATTTTTGAACGGCGGAGAGCTCGATTTCAACTTGGCCGAATCTTTGACTGCTCTACCTCCTCACGCGCCGCCGTCGACGGAGACCAAGGTTGACACCGGCGGACTCGAAATGGCACAAGGAACACGATGGTGCGGGAGGTGTCGAAAACCGATCAACGATCGGAGATGAATTTAAGATTTTCTCGGCGGTAGTGCTAAAAAAAAGGCCGAGACTTTGACTCAAAATTCACGTCGTTTGGTAGCGTTTCTCTATAATTGATTTATTGGGTTTTGTTCACAGGTCGAAGATGAACACGATGGTGGTTTCAATTTGACGGTCGGAGGTCGGACGGCGTTGGAATCAGGCTTTGAAGTAGAGTGCGGGAGGAGGAATTTCATAATTGTTTTCTGTTTTGAAAACAGAAAACCATATATACGTATATATCAAATTTCCTGCCGACACTAAAAGGAGTAATTTAGAGCTTGGTCCCTGAATTTCCTTCACTTTTAATATTGCCTACAAGTTTTGAAAACTTTTAATTTAATCCCCAAATTTCACCAAATTTCACCAAATTACATCGATTTAAATTGTTTTTTTTTTGGGTTGTTACAATTCTTCCCCTCTACAAGAAATTTCATCCTCGAAATTTACCTTATGAGAATAACTGAGGAAACTGAGCCTCCATTGACTCCAATGTTTCCCAAGTAGCTTCTGAGGGCCTCGATTACTCCATTGAACTTTGACCATTGGGATACGCCTATTCCGAAGAACTCGCTCATCTCTTTCTAAGATCTGAATGGGCTCTTCCTCATAGGATAAATCAGGTCTCAGCTCTACCTCTTCAACCTGAATGATGTGACTTGGATCTGGACGGTATGCCTCAACATAGACACATGAAAAACATCATGAATACGACTAAGATGGGAAGGCAACTCAAGCTGATAAGCAACAGGTCCAACTTTCTTCAGAATACGATACGACCCAATAAATCGCGGACTCAGTTTACCCTTACGTCCAAATCTCAATACTTTCTTCCATGGAGATACCTTGAGAAAAACCTGATCTTGAACGTCAAACTGTATATCCTTCCTCCTTTGATCTGCATAAGATTTCTGCCTATCAAATGCCTCTTTCAGACGGTCACGGATCAATCTGACTATGTCCTCTGTCTCCCGCACTAACTCAGGTCCCAAAGTCTTCCTATCACGCAACTCAGTCCAACAATTCGGGGTGCGACACCTACGCCCATAGAGTGCTTCATAGGGTGCCATACGAATGTTGGTCTAGTAACTGTTATTATAAGCAAATTCAGCCAAAGGCAAAAAGTTCTCCCAGCTACCATGAAAATCAATTACACAACCCCGTAACATATCCTCCAGAATCTGAATTACTCTCTCAGACTGACCATCAATTTGTGGGTGGAAGGAGGTACTATAATTCAATCTCGTACCCAAAGCCGTATGTAGCGCCTTCCAAAATCTCGAACCAAAATCTCGAAGTAAATCTCGGATCTCGATCTGAAATGATAGATAATGGAACACCATGCAATCTAAATCTCTGAAATATAATACCTCGCCAACTTGTCCAACGTATAATTTACCCGTACATGAATGAAGTGAGCTGACTTTGTAAGTCTATCAACAATCACCCAAATTGAGTCCTTTTTCGAAGGAGTCATAGGTAAACCAGTAACAAAATCCATAGTAATTCGCTCCCATTTCCATTCAGGAATCTTGATAGGTTGTAACAAACCTGATGGATGTTGATGTTCCGCCTTAACTTGCTGACAAGTCAAACACCTCGTCACAAAATTCGAAATGTCCTTCTTCATGCCGACCCAATGATACCTCTCTCTCAAATTCTGATACATCTTATCTCCACCGGGGTGCATAGCATATGGACTACTATGAGCCTCCGTAAGGATAATCTGCCTCAACTCAGCATCATCCGGCACACAATACCGACCTTTGAAGCATAAAACTTCATCCTGATCAAGGCGTAATCTGAGCTTGTCCCTTGCTCTACTTGCTCAAAGATGGAAAGCAAGGAGCTATCAAGGGGCTGCTTAGCTTTGATCTCATCAACCAAGGTCGGCTTAACTTGTAATTCTGCTAACAGAGTGCCATCGTCATATAAATTCATCCTGGCCATTAAAGATCTCAACTCTGTTACCACCTTTCGACTCAAAGCATCCGCTACAATATTAGCTTTACCAGGGTGATAATCAATCACACAATCATAATCCTTTAAAAGCTCTAGCCAGCGTCGCTGTCTCAAATTAAGCTCCTTCTTGGACAGAAGATATTTTAAACTCTTATGATCCGTGAAAATGTAACACTTCTCTCCAAAAAGATAGTGTCTCCAAATCTTCAAGGCAAAAATCACTGTTGCTAACTCCAAATCATGAGTAGGATAATTACACTCATGCGGTCGCAGCTGACGGGATACATAAGCCACCACCTTACTTTCATGCATTAGAACACAGCCGAGTCCTGAGTGTGACGCATCACTATACACTGTAAAATCCTTCCCGGACTCTGGTTGAATCAATACTGGTGCTTGAGTCAATACCGCCTTTAATTTCTCAAAGCTCTCCTGTTGTGCCTCACCCCAGTCAAACGGCACATTCTTCCTTAACAACTTTGTCAAATGAGAAGCAATGATCGAAAAGCCCTCAACAAAACGTCGATAATAACCAGACAAGCGCAAGAAACTGTGAATCTCAGAGATATTCTTGGGTCGTTTCCAATTCACAATAGCTTCGATCTTGCTTGGATCGACCTGAATACCTCGCGCAGAAATAATATGCCCCAGAAACGACACTTCTTGAATCCAAAACTCACACTTTCTTAGTTTGGCATATAGATGATGTTCTCTCAAAGTCCGCAGAACGATCTTCAAATTCTCGTCATGCTCTGCCTCAGTACGAGAATAGATCAGAATATCATCAATAAAGACCACCGCAAATTAATCCAAATATGGTCGGAACACCCGATTCATCAAATCCATGAAAGCTGCAAGAGCATTCATCAAACCAAAAGGCATCACTAAGAATTCATAATGACCATATCTAGTGCGAATGGCCGTCTTTGCAACATCAGACCCTTTAACTTTCAATTGATAATACCCCGAACGAAGATCAATCTTAGAGAATACAATAGCTCCTCGCAACTGATCAAATAAGTCATCAATCCTGGGTAGTGGATATTTATTCTTGACCGTCATCTGGTTCAACTTCCGATAGTCAATACATAATCTTAGCGACCCATCCTTCTTTTTCACGAATAGAACTGGAGCTCCCCATGGTGAAGTACTATGCCGAATAAATCCTCGATCGAATAATTCTTGCAATTGGACCTTCAAATCCTTAAGTTCTTTTGGAGCCATGCGATAAGGTGCCATAGAAATAGGTGCAGATCCCGGATAAGTCTCTATCTCGAACTCTACCTCTCTATCAGGAGGTAAACCAGGCAACTCCTCTGGAAAGACATCAGGAAACTCGCTAACTGTACGGATCTCTTCGATCGTGGACAATGAACCTTTAGTGTTCAAAATACAAGCAATGAAAGTCTCATATCCCTTCCGGATCATACGATCAATTTCCATCGCTGAAACTATATTGGAGAGATATCCACGCCGTTCACCAATTAACACAACAGTCCGACCATCTGAAGTCTTTAGAGTAGCCCGCTTGTATTCACAATCCAGATTTACCTTGTGTTTATTCAACCAATCCATCCCAAGAATTAGATCGAACTCCTCTAAAGGAAGCTCCATAAGATTAGCGAGAAAAATTTCTCCCTGAACCTCGAGAGGACAACGCTGAAATACTTTATTCATAAATATCGTCTGTCCTACTGGACTCATAACCTTAACATTATTTTCAGTGTTCTCGATCGGAATCTGAATGTTTCGAGATACCGAGCTCGATACATAGGAGTGGGTGGAGCCATTATCCAGTAATGCAAAGTGTGGAATGAAATATATAGTAAATGTACCTGCAATAACCTCAGGCTCATCTCTGTCATCCCGACGTCTAGTGGCATAAACCAAAGCTGGTTGTCTAGCCTCAGAAACTGTTGGCCCTCTATTTTGCTGAGGTTGGGCTCTACTGTCTGTCCTGGATGTTGATCCTCGAGTCTTTCCTTGACTATGATCTCTAATTGGGGTTTGTACTGTAGTCTGAGAATGCACAGGAGTCTGGGTAGCGGTCTACTCAAACGAAGCTAGCAGAGGACAATCCCTCCGAAAATGACCACTAGATCCACACTGATAGTAAAGACCCATCTTCTTACGACACTCTCCTGTGTGTTGTTTACCACAAAACTCATAGAGGAACCCATGATAATACGACGAGGAACCGCCTCGACTGCCAACTAACGGTAAGGATGCTGCAGGCCTGAAACGTGTATTGCTTCTCTGAGGGGCTGAAGTACGAGTCCTCTTCCCGGACTGTGCTGATGACTCCATCGGGCCTGAAAATTTCTTAGATTGTTCCTATTCAACACGCTCTCTACCAGAAGCTAAAACCTCCACCTCTTCAGCATCTTTGGCTCTGCCCACCAGCACATCAAATATCTCATCCTGATGGGTTACAACTTGCTTACGCAACTCGTATCTGAGTCCAAGGGCAAATTTAAGACATCAATCTCTCTCAGTAGGTACCATACTGAATCCATACTTCAGCAACTTCAAGAACTCGATCTCATACTCAGAAACAGTCATGTCTCCCTGAACCAGGTCTTGAAACTGCTTACGTCTCTGAGCTAAGTAGCGCTCTCCTAGAAAACGACTCCGAAAGCGATCCTTAAAGAAATTCCAGGTCAAACGATCGGTAGGAACACTACTGGTCACTGACTCCCACCAAGTGTAGGTATTGCCATCTAACATCGCTACAACACCCATATATCTCTTAGTTGAGTCCAAACCCAACTGATCCATGCGTCTCTCTGTATCCTGGAGCCAATCCTCAGCTTCAGTAGGAGATCCTCCAATCTATCCCCCAAAAGTTCTAACTCCATTGGCAATCAAAGTCTGCGAAATAGGAACCTCTGATACAACACCAGTAGCTCTGACTGCTCCCTATATTAACTACAGAAATTGTCTACCAAAATTCTCATCCAATGCAACTCCGGTAGACTCTGACTCAATATCTGTCGCTCCTATGATCGGTGTAGTCATGCCAATACCAGCGGCAGGAGGCAGATTCGTTGGGGTCGTAGGAGCATGATTACCTATCGGAAGTGGGGGATCTACTCGTATCTCATCGATCGGGTTTGCAAATCTAGCCACTCGACCTCGTCCACGGCTAGTTCGACGACCACGTCTAGCACTCATTTTTTTATGGATCTCGAGTTTACTACAGTAGATAAAACTTAGGGTTAGACAAGCACTTGGAGTCTCGAACACAGTTAAAATCTTAATAACTTATGACATGGCCTTAGTAACTTGTTTTGTAAAATATTTCTAAAACTGTATTTCAATTGTGGACTCATATACAGTCCGCGGTTTAAAAACCAAAAGCTCTGATACCAATAAATGTAACCCCCTAGACTCGGCCTATGCGTTTCGACTAAGTCTAGTGGATCACATTATGATTCTTAAAGACATTTTCTGAAACCGTTATTCAATCAATGTAAAATCACATTATAAATGTCATGAAATAAATTATACCATCAAAACCCAACTTGTAAATATAATACCAATAAGTAATAAATTAATTTAAAACAGGTCTTCAAAATCAAAATCATAATAAACCGAACAGTAATAGCAAAAGTGTCATCATCCTAAAATACGATACTTTAAAATAAGGTCCATGTCACCAAAATAAAGTCAACTAGCAAGATAAAACATTACAATCAGATATACTTCAAGAGACATGTTGATCCTCCAAGTGCTCAAACCGATGTATCTAACCAACAGTATCTGAAAGGGGGAAAACATTTTCGAAAGGTGAGCTAGGCTCAGTGTGTCCCAATATTACCTTAAAATCACAATAGGTACATTAAACAAATCATAGTCTAGAAAATCTCATAAATTCATAAAAGAGTTTAACTTTTGAAAATCATAGTTTAAACTCTTTTCTTGTACACCATCAGTAATTTCCAAAACTATTTTCCATATAGCTTACTCTAAGCACACAGCAAAAAGAAAGTCAACCTAAGGATAAGCTTTATAGCTTGTATCCTTAAGCCCGTAAGTCCAAGTCCATATAGCTTACCCTAAGTACACACAAGGGAAGCCAACCTAATGTATCTTGGGGCCCCAAGAGTCACATTAGGCCCATTCTGTTTATTAGCTTGATCAGAGCTATACTATTGTAATTCAATCCAAAAGTTCAATTGCACCGTGACACAAATTCCATAAATCATCACATTAAATTGGTGCATCAATAAAATAGTAACCAAAGAACTCAGTGTACCTCATATTAAAATCAATAAAATAGTTCAGTAATAATTAGGGAACACACCTCGATAATAGGTTCAAATAGTAGATCTACTGATTGCTGGTTTCACCACGCTCTGCTACAGTTTTCGAACCTATTTTATAATAACACTATATTACTTATGGGTAACATAAATAAATCTCTAAAATCATAAAATTTACGGGTCTTACGGGTGAATACTGGCACACGTGGTTTAATTGATCTAGAAGAGCTGGGTCGAGCTGTCGAACGATCCGGAGAGTCTCTTGTACCTTCAAACAATAATAATTTATCAACTCCAAATCTTACTTAATTGTTCAAAGCTAAAATTCTTAAGTATATAAGCATTTTCAGGGTTTGACTATTAATTTGGAAGATTTCGGATTTGAATTTGGCCAAACAGATTGCGGAATCGGAATCAGGACGTCGAAAAATATAAAGTATGTCTTTTCGAAAATTTAAATTCTTGGTCTAAGTCAAAGTCAACCACTTTGACCGTCGATTTGGAGGCCTTTGGGTTCGAATTTGACGAAACGGACTTCGAAAACGAATTCGGGACGTCGAAAACTATCAGAATAGGTATACTTGGAAAAGATTAATGGTCATTTAATGGTCGGTCAAAGCCATTTTATGTTTTGGTCAAAGAAAGTCAACGGTCAACGGTCGGGTTGGGTCAAACCAGTTTTCAGCCACTCACTCTCCCTGCGGCGATGCGTGTGGCGCGTGAGGCCTCCTTCGGGGGTCTAAAAATTACGGAAAAAATTTCTAAAAATTATTTTGAGCGATTTCGAGATACTTACAAAGATCGGTTCAAATTTTTGAACGGCGGAGAGCTCAATTTCAACTCGGCCGAATCTTTGACTGCTCCACCTCCTCATGCGCCGCCGTCGTCGGAGACCAAGGTTGACACCGATGGACTCGAAACGGTACAAGGAACACGATGGTGCGGGAGGTGTCGAAAATCGATCAACGATCGGAGATGAATTTAAGATTTTCTCGGCGGTAGTGCTAAAAAAAACGTCGAGACTTTGATTCAAATTCACGTCGTTTGGCAGCGTTTCGCTATAATTGATTTACTGGGTTTTGTTCACGGGTCGAAGATGAACACGATGATGGTTTCAATTTGACGGTCGGAGGTCGGACGGCGTTGGAATCAGGCTTTGAAGTAGAGTGCGGGAGGAGGAATTTCACAATATCAAATTTCGTGCCGACACTAAAAGGAGTAATTCAGAGCTTGGTTTTTGAATTTCCTTCACTTCTAATATTGCCTACAAGTTTTGAAAACTTTTAATTTAATCCCCAAATTTCACCAAATTACACCGATTTAAATTGTTTTTTTTTCGGGTTGTTACAATTTATGACTTTGTTCAAAAGATTGAATACGAAGGTCTATAGCAAATCTATTTTAAATGTGGAACTTATGGTCATGTAAAAGAAAGTTGCAAAACCAACCATGAGGAAACACCTATGGAAGTTACCAGCACTAGTCAAGAAAATGTTGAACAAACGACATTAGAGAACAATAAAGAAAACCCCTTTTTGGCCCTTGGATGGTTGCGCAACCAAGAGTAAGAAATGGAAGAAGCGAAAAAAACTCAAAACAAGAACAAGGAAGAAGGGCGAAAACCAATCAAGGGCTCTAGGTTTACATCGTTTCAAGAGGAAACAATGGAAGAAGATCCCAAGAACAATATCGAGAAAAGCCATCATTCGATCAGTGGAACTGAATTGAAAACGTCTTCTACAAAAATCCACACAGTTATCAATCCAACGAGGAATAATAAGAAAGATGAAGGAAAGATGAAAAAGAAAGAGATATCAATCCCAACAATGGAGAATACATACCAATCTCAGGAGATAGATATTATTACAAATCTTGAAAATGAGAATAACAATTTGATTGATGTACCTATTACGGATGGGGAATTGGTGGAGAGCGATGATTATACGAGTATGCACAAGATTGAAAGAGTTCAAGTATGACTAGTGAAACTGCTCGAGTCAGTGAACACATGTTAACCTTGGGATCTGGCTCCCACACATCAATCCCTATATAAGACGATGAAAAATTTGTAGCCAGACATCTAGATGGAGATTCAATAAGAAACCCAACCCAACCTCCCGTATTACCAAGAAAGGACTTAAAGTTAGGAAAACCAAAAAGCAATCACGCCCAACGTTCCTCTTTTATTGGAATGGTTCCAAAGTCATACCATGAATTCAGAGAATTTGGCTTCACCCGCTAGTACAAGCCAAACTATAAGCCATGACCAACTCGTAGAGCCTATTATTCAGATTCAGACTCGTGTAAATGAATAAATTGAAGAGGGAGCGATGTGTAGAGACAACCCCATTAACTCTTAAAAAGAATATTATGTTATGAAACACTCAAGAGGTTATTAAGCCCTCATTTAGAATACATTTCAGAGATTTTGTGAAGAACCATAAGCCTAGGATTATTGCTATGTTTGAAACTCACACAAGTGGTAGGAAAGCAAACAAGATTATCAACAATATGGGGTATAGCAACTCATTCAGAATCGAAGCACAGAGGTACAGTGGAGGCATCTGGGTATTATGGGATAATTCAGTAGAGGTTAAGATGTTGAATATCACCAACCAATATGCCCATGCTATATATAAACTTATGAACAGTAACCAATGGAACTACTTTACTGCGATTTATGTCAGCCCCCATCATTCATTCGTTGTAAATTGTGGGAACTCCTCTTTAAGCTTAAACCTCGTAATAGTGACCCATGTTGGGAATTAAATGAGTAATTTCCCTATAACCAGATTAGTGAGAATGCAAAATAAAAATGAAAAAATAATACCCAAAATTGATAACGAAGTTCAGCCAATTATGCTTAAGTCTCCGGACTGCTGCAGATCTTTTAGTAAAGAGATAAAATTTACAGGTGTTTACAAACACTCAAAAACTCATAAGAAAGTTCTCTAGTATTAGGAGAAAGAAATGTTTTGGGGTGATTTTGAAGTTAAATCGGTTAGGGTATTTATAGTTGAAGCTTAAGAACTAATCTTATAAATATCCTAAAGTTCAAGGACTAATTATGCAATTATCCCATACATGAAATTCAACAATTTTTGCCTACTTGCACTGAAAGTTTCTTCTGCCAGTAACCCACCGAAAATTATTGCTTTAACAACCCACCGAAAATTGACTTTGCAACAATCTCCCACTTGAAGACTGATTTTAATCTGTCTTCACACCTCGATCAATGCAGCAACATTTCTGGTCTTGTTACTTTAGCATGCCAACTGAAGCTGAACACAACTTTAATTTGTCCGTAGTCACCGTCTTTGTTAACATGTTTTCCAGATTTTGAGCTCCACTAATCTTTTCAAGTTTCAAAATCCCATCTTCCAGAAGAGACCGAATAAAATGATATCTCAATTGTATGTGCTTCGTCCTGGAATGAAAAGATGGATTCTTCGCTAGATGGATGACACTTTGACTATCGAAATACAAGACATTGTTTTATTGTTTCTTGCCTAACTCTTCCAAGAAACTTTGGAGTCAAACCATCTCCTTGCTGTCTTCCGTAACAACGACATATTCTGCTTCAGTTGTGGAGAGAGCAACTATCTTCTGTAGTTGAGAAACCCAACTCACTACAGTACCTCTTAGAGTATAGACATACCTTGTAGTGCTCATTCTGATGTCAACATTTCCGGCTAAGTCAACATCTATATAGACTACAGTATCGTATCTCCACCTTTGAAATAAAGTGCTTTGTTTGTGGTACCCCGTAGATATCTGAGGATTCATTTGAATTCTTCCTAGTGCACTTTGCCCAGATTATTCATGTACCTGCTAACAGCTCCCACTGCTTGAGCAATATCTGGTCTGGTACAAACCATGGCATACATTAGACTTCCAATTGCTGAGGCATACTGCACCTTCACCATGTGTGCACGTTCTTCCTATGTCTTTGGTGACTGTTCTTTGAAGAGTCTAAAATGAACACCTAAAGGTGTACTTACTAGTTTAGCATCTTGCATATTGAACATGGAGAGTACTTTGTTGATGTACTCAGCCTGTGATAACATCAAAGTCCCCGAATTTGTGTCTCTCTTAATCATCATCCCAAGAATCTGCTTTGCAGCGCCCAAATCTTTCATTGCAAACTGCTTCGACAATTTTTGCTTCAAGTTTATAATCTCTTGCATGTTTGAGCCTGCAACGAGCATGTCATCAACGTACAACAATAAAATAATGAAGCTGTTGTCGAACTTCTTGATGTAGCAACAATGATCTGCTTGGCATCTGGTAAAACCACTGCTACTCATGAAATTATCGAACTTCTTGTACCACTGTCTAGGAGCTTATTTTAAACCTTACAAGCTCTTCTTCAACCTGCATACCAGGTTTTTCTTGTCTACCTTTATGAAGCCTTCTGACTGCTTCATATAGATTTCTTCCTCCAAATCACCATGAAGGAAAGATGTCTTTACATCTAACTGCTCAAGATGTAGATTTTCTATAGCTACAATTTTCAACACCAGTTTGATTGTAGACAGTTTCACGACTGGAGAGAAAATTTCATTGTAGTTAATACATTCTTTTTGCTGAAAACCTTGGACAACCAATCTTGCTTTGTAGTGTTTGCTCTCATCGTGTTCTTCTTTGATCTAGTAAAACCACTTGTTATGGAGCGCTTTCTTTTCTAGTGGTAATTCAACTAATTCTCACATCTGATTTGACATAAGCAAGTCCATCTCATCTTTCATGAAGACTCACACTTGACTAAATCCTCCACCTGCATTGCTTCATCATAGCACTCTGGTTCACCATTGTCAGTCAGTAACAAGTAGTGCAAAGAAGGCGAATAACACTGGGTTGGTTTAGGAATTCTGGATGAGCGTCTCAGTTCTGGTGTGCCTGGTTCTTCTTGAACTGCTTTAGGATTGATCTGAACATTATTTCTAGAAATCTCCTCAAACTCAACAAATTTCTTTGTTTCAGCTTCGTTATTGGAGCTATTTGATTCTATGGTTGACCTATCTTTGTATATCACATTCTCATTGAAAATGACATCTCTGCTTCTAATGATCTTTTGATTTTCATAGTCCCAAAACTGGTAACCGAACTCATCACCACCATAACCAACAAAGACGCATTTGTTGGACTTAGTATCAAGTTTAGTTCTTTCAGTAGAATTTATGAGCACATAACAAATACAACCAAACACTCTTAAGTGTGAAAGGTTTATTTCTTTTTTGCTCCAAACTTTCTCTGGTATTCTATCATCCAAGGGAACTGAGGGCCCACGATTGATCAGGTAAGCTGCAGTGTTGATAGCTTTAGCCCATAGAAATTTGGGCAAGTCGGCATGTATCATCATGCTTCTGGCACGTTCATTTAGAGTTCTGTTCATGCTCTCTGCTACGCTATTCTGCTGCGGTGTCATGGGAACTGTTGTCTCATCTTGATCTCATTGTTTGTACAGAAATCTCTGAATCTACTATTTCTATACTCTCCTCCATTATCAGACATCAACTGCTTGACTTTCAAACCAGTCTCATTTTCCACCATGGCCTTTCATTTTCTGAAGGTATTAAAGACTTCTGATTTATTCTTCAGAAAATAAACCCATACATTCCTTGTAGAATCATCGATGAAGGTGACATAATATAGTGAGCTTGCAAGAGATGTAACTGGAGATGGTCCTATACATCAGTATGAACCAACTCTAACTTTTCAGTCTTGGGTGTCTTGCCAATCTTTGCAAAACTGACTTTCTTTTGTTTTCCAAAGATGCAATCTTCACATAGTTCGACATCTATATTTTTTAGATCCGACAGCTTCCCTTTTGACAAAAGTGTTTTCATCCCTTTATCGCTCATATGGCCAAGCCTTTGGTTATATAGCTTTTATTTTCTATCAGCATCTGCTACTGCAATGATATTCTCCAAATTTGAGGTTACATAGAGAGTATCAGTCTTCTTACCACGAGCAATGACGAGTGCTCCTTTGGTAATCTTCCATTCACAGCCTGAAAAGGTTGTACTATATCCTTCTCTATCAAGCTGTCCTACAGAAAACAAATTTCTTTTGAGTCCAGGAATATGTCTCACTCCTTTCAACTTCCAGGTGGTCTGGTTTGGCAACTTTAATCGGATGTCTCCTTTTCCGATGATCTTCAAGGTTTCATCATCAGCTAGATGAACATTCCCAAAAGATTTTTTGGCATGGGGTGGAGTGGAAAGATGCCCCTGAATCCAAGATCCATGATTCAATCGGACTGTTGATGCTTAGAATCATGGCATCACTTGTTTTCTCTGTTACGTTGGCATATTTCTGTACGCCGGTATCTTTCTTCGGCGACAATATTTTTTAAAGTGACATTTCTTACCACAATTATAACAGTTATAATCTTTATTTCCCGTTCTTGATTTTCCCCTTCTGGATTTCGATCTGCCACGATTTGAATTTCTTTCTGAAGTTCTCCCTCTAGACTCCGTGTGCAAGGTTGAGGAGATTGATGCTTCACCCGATTTTATCCGTCAAATTTCTCCACTCAATACCAGATCCCGAACATCGTTGAATTTCAATTTACTATTTCCTGACGAGCTGCTGACTGCTGCAACAGTAACATTCCAACTTTCTGGTAGAGATGATAAGAGAATTAAAGCTCGAACTTCATCATCGAATTCAATTTCCACAGAACTCAACTGGTTGTGAAATTGTTGAGTTCATTTAGGTGTTGAGCCACTGATGCCCCTTCCGTCATCTGCAAATTGAATAATCGCCTTATCAAGTGAACTTTGTTTGAGCTCGATGACTTTTCATACATACTGGAGAGAGCCGCCATAAGACCCGCCGTGGTATTTTCCTTTGTTATGTTGAAAGCAACATTGCGGGAAAACGCCAGTCGGATAACTCTGAGGGCTTGTCTGTTGAGTAAAGCCCAGACTTCTCAATTTTCACATTCCCTTCTTCTGCAGTCATCGCTCCCACTCGAATCTGGCTTCTTTTGGATCGTTTCTAACAATTCTTGCGAACCACCGTGTATTAGAACACCTCCGTCGACAAACTCGTATCGCCGACCAAATTTTACTATTCATGAAATTCACTATTCATGTGAATAGTAACCTCGCAGAAAAAACTGAAAAAATTCACCATCAAAAGCTCCTGATACCAGTTGTTGGGAAATAAAACGAGTAATTTCCCTATAACCAGATTAGTGAGAATGTGAAATAAAAGCAGAAAAATAATACCCAAAATTGATAACGGAGTTCAGCCAATTATGCTTACGTGTCCGGACTGCTGGAGATCTTTTACTAAAGAGAGAAAATTTACAGGTGTTTACAAACACTCAAAAACTCACAAGAAAACTCTCTAGTATTGGGAGAAAGAAATGTTTTGGGGTGATTTTGAAGCTAAATGGATTAGAGTATTTATAGTTGAAGCTTAAGGACTAATCTTATAAATACTCTAAAGTTTAGGGACTAATTATGCAAGTATCCCATGCCTGAAATTCAACAATTTCTGCCCACTTGCACTGAAAGTTTCTTCTTCCAGTAACCCACCAAAATTGCTTTGACAACCCACCGAAAATTGAGTTTGCAACAACCCTTGGATCCTCGGGGTGACTTTAACTGCATCCTAAAACCCGAAGAAATATTTGGAGGTAGTAGACACTACAGAGGATGGAGTAAACTTTTCCAGGACTTTATGTTTAATATTGGTTTAATGGATGTTAGCTACCACATGGAGGATTTCACTTGGCATCGGGGAAACCTCTGGCAGCAGCTAGATCGGTGTATTATGAATATGAAATGGGCGGAGTTCTACCCAGAAACTAGGATGCACCACCTTGATTGACTTGGATCTGATCACTGTCCTATCTTGCACCATACTAATAGACCCGCTAATAATAACAAGGATAAACCTTTTCGTTTCCTAGCTGCGTGGATGGACCACCATGATTTTGAACACTTTTTTAAGTCCGAGTGGGATGAGAATGGTAACTTCCTGGATAACCTTAACCATTTTAAGCAATGTATCAAAGTTTGGAACCGGGAGATCTTCGGTATTATTCATAGAAGAAGAAATAGATTCTTGCTCGAACACGGAGACAAAAATGCAAGATATTTCTACCCATGTGCAATAGCAAAAAATATAAGGAAACTTATCTCAACCCTCAAGCTTGACACAAAGAATTGGTGCGAAGACCAAGAGATCCTTAAAAATCATGTTAAGGAATTTTACGAGAGTATATTCACAAGCAAACTCACAAACAAACAACCATTTGAAACCCTGGGCCATTTCCCTGAAATTAACTAGGAACAATGGTATTGACTTAATAGTCCCTTTGAGAACAATGAGATCAAATAGGCTCTTTTCAGCATGGGTCCCTTTAAAGCCCCAGACGTGGGTGACTTTCATGCTAGCTTCTATCAAATGAATTAGGAGACTGTTGGCGAAATTTTTTACCTTTTTATGAAACAATTTCTGGATGGAGGATAGTTAGATTAAGCTCTGAACATAACTCTCTTAGTGTTACTCCATAAGGTTGACAATCTAGAGACGATACCCCAGTTTAGACGCATAAGTTTGTGCTCGATTATTTACAAAATTATCGTGAAAGTTATCGTCAACCGCATTAAATCTATTCTACCAACGCTCATTTATAATAGCCAAATGAGTTTTATCTTAGGACGGATTATCACTGATAACTTTATATTAGCTCAAGAAACTGTCCATTCCATGAGAAAAAAGAAAGGTAAAAAAAGGTGATTAGCCATCAAAATCGACCTTGAGAAAGCCTATGATAAACTTGAATGACCATTCGTGGAAGATACCATCGATGACTTGGGTCTACCTTACAAGCTTAAACGTGCAATAATGGATTGCATACGCACCACGTCAATCCAAATAATTTGGAATAGGGAGCTTATTGATTCGTTCAAACCATCTAGGGGGATAAGACAAGGTGAATCAATATCGCCGTACCTATTCGTACTATGCATGGAAAGGTTAGCTTAAGAGATTTCATTGGTTGTGGAACAAGGAAGATGTAAACTGATCAAATTCTCTCCTAGTGGCCCAACCATATCACAAATTTTCTTCACCGACGATCTCATTTTCTTCACGGAGCTGATATTTCTCAAATCGATATTATTATAAACACTTTTAAAAGTTTCTGTAGTAGTTTGAGCCAAAAGGTTAGCCTCCAAAAGACCAATATTTTTTACTCCAACAATGTTAGAGCACAGACTAGGGATATCATCACTAAAACGCTCAAAATAAACGAGGTCGAGAATTTTGTTAAATACCTTAGGATCTATCTCCTCCATAGTAGGATTACCAAGGAAAGTTATAGTAGCATTATCCAAAGATTTAAAGACCACCTAATAGGATGAAAAGCTAAATCACTTTCGCTAACTGGAAGAATCTTGCTTGCCAAGTCTGTCATCACTTTTATTCCAATCTACACCACGCAGTCTATCCTGATTCCCATAGGAACCTGCGATGAGTTTGAAAGATTGACTAGGAATTTTATTTGGGGTCATATGAATGAGAAGAAGGGTGTTCACCTCGTTAGCTGGGATGTTCTCTGTAAATCGATCAAATGAGGTGGACAAGGCCTAAAGCACCAAATGATCCAAAACGAGGTTTTCTTTGTCAAACTTGTATATAAACTTACTAATAGATCTGATCTTTTGTGGGTGTAGGTTGTGCAAAACAAATATAAGATACATGAGTTACTACCTGATAAATTGAAAAAAATACGAGGTTCTCATTTATGGAACCGCATTTATTGATATAGCCCAGATTCAAAAAGAACATATGCTAGAACATTGGAAATGGGAATCACATTGAATTATGGCATGACAATTTGTTAGGTAATACAAAATCTCTCTCCAAGCGATGCAACCAACAAATGGTAGTGGAAAATGACAAATCAAAAGACAAAGATATGGTTATTCAGAGTGGGAGCTGGGATTGAAACAAGTTAACCCCATTACTTCCTGATCAAATTATCACATACTGAAGGCTGTTAGATCATAAAATTGATCCATTATGGGAGTCTAAACCCAAACCCAAACTAAATTGATGTCATTGCTTACATCAATTAGATGAAGATGTCATTGCTTACATCAATTTAGTTAGGTGAGAGTTAGGTATTTGTAGACTTTAATGGTTTAAATTATTTTATTTGTGTGGTGTAGGATTGTTCTTGAGTAGTATAAATACCCCTCCTCATTTTAGTTTAAGCATCAAGAAAAATTAAGAGCTTCTAAGTGAGTGAAGAAGCAAAGTCTAATAAGAGTGAGTTGTAGTTCTTGTTTTTGAGTGAGAGTGCTCTTGTAACATTTGTTTGAGTTTCAATAAAAGTTATTTGTTTGAGTGTTTTATTTCCAACAAAGTGACATCAGAGAGAGTTGGAAAGATCGAAGATCTCGACGAGAGGAATCCGTTGCCGCCAAAATCTTCCCAATCTAAGTTCTGACGTGTCGCCACGCACCGCCGGAAGACTGCTGCCAGAAAATCGAGTTGACTTACCGAGTTGAGCCGAGTTGGAGCCCCTTGACCGAGTTGTCCAAGTTCTTCCCAAGGTTTTTCGGTGTTCCAGATTCATCTTTGTAATTGGATTTTGCAAATTCTCATTATATTGAGAGATATGGCAAATGGTATGTCACCATTCCAAGTTTCGACACTCAACAACAACAACTACGACAATTGGAGTATCAAAATGAAGGCACTTCTTGGATCACAAGATGTGTAGGATATCATAGAGAAAGGCTATAACGAGCCTGCGAATGATGATGGTTTTGCTACTCTTACACCAGATCAAAAGACAACTTTTAAGGATTCAAGAAAGAGAGACAATAAGGTTCTCTACCTCATCTATCAAGCATTAGATAATGATGGTTTTGAAAAGATTTCGAGTACAAGCTCTAGCAAGGAAGCGTGGTAGAAGCTGCAAACCTCTTATAAAGGATCCGAGCAAGTGAAGAAGGTTCGTCTCCAAACATTAAGAGGTGAATTCGAATCCTTACACATGAAAACATCCTAGTCTATTTTAGATTATTTCTCAAGAGTAGTAGTTATTTCTAATCAATTGAAAAGAAATGGTGAAAAGTTAGAAGATGTGAGGATAATAGAGAAGATACTCTGTTCGTTGGATCCCAAATTTGAGCACATAGTCGTGACGATTGAAGAAACTAAAGACTTGGAAGAAATGACGATCGAGCAACTCCAAGGATCATTGCAATCATACGAAGAGAAGTATAAGAAGAAGCATGTGTTTACTGAGCAACTCCTCAAGCTGCAACTCAAAGATATGCATGAAACCCAATACAATGATAGAAACCAACGTGTCCTAGGCTGAGGTAGAGGCCATGGACGAGGTGGAAGTCGCGAACGTGGACAAGGCTGGAATTACAACAACAACAATTCCAATAACAACTATGAGAAAGGAGAAAGCTCAACACGAGGCCGTGGAAGAATCAATCCGAACTCAAGATATGATAAATCTCAAGTTCGATGTTATAATTGTCAGAAGTTTGGGCATTATGCTTCAGAATGTAAAACTCCCAACAACAAAATTGAGGAGAATGCCAACTACTTAGATCCAAGAAGTCACTTGAGCTCATCCATACCGATGTGTGTGGACCGATCAAGCCAAGCTCTCTCGATAACAGTAACTATTTTCTTCTCTTCATTGATGATTTTTCAAAAAAAACCTGGGTATATTTCTTGAAACAGAAGTCAGAAGTTTTCGAAGTCTTCAAGAAGTTCAAAGCAGTAGTGGAGAGAGAAAGTGGTAGAAAGATCAAAGCCATAAGATCCGACCGAGGAGGAGAATTTACTTCCAGGGAGTTTCAAGAGTTTTATGAAGCAAATGGAATTCGTTGACCAATGATAGTTCCTAGATCCCCTCAGCAAAATGGTGTGGTAGAAAGAAAGAATATAACAATCCTCAACATGGCATGAAACATGCTCAAAAGTAAGAATCTACCCAAGGAATTTTGGGCGGAAGCAGTGTGTGTGCAATCTACTTGACAAACCGATCTCCAACAAGAAGTGTATGGGGAAAGACACCACAAGAGGCATGGAGTGGAAAAAATATGGCATTTCTTACTTGAGAACCTTTGGAAGTATAACCCATGTTCACGTACTAGACGAGAGAATAATGAAGCTTGATGATAAAAGCGAGAGTTTTATCTTTATCGACTATGATGCAAATTCAAATGTCTACAAGCTGTACAATCCAGACAATAAGAAGATTGTGATCAGTCTAGATGTGGTTTTCAATGAAGAAGGAGAATGTGATTTTAACTCTCATGCAGATGACTTAAATTTCTTTCCTCGGTTTGAAGACGATGAGCAGACAATGAGGGAACAACTAGGTGAACATCAACAAGAGCTTGAAACTCCACCTACTTCACCAACATCAGCCACTCAAGGAGACTCATCACCTTCGTCATCGTCAAGTGAAAGTCAAAGTGAAAGAGTTGTGCAACATACAAGAAGCCTCAGAGATCTCTATGAGGTAACTGAACGACAAGATAATCTTACATTATTTTGTCTGTTTGCCGATTGTGATTCAGTGAGCTTTCAAGAAGCGGTACAAGAATAGAAATGGAGAGATGTGATGGACGAAGAAATCAAGGCCATCGAGAAGAATAACACATGGGAACTTACCTCACTTTCCAAGAGACATAAGGCAATATGTGTCAAATGGGTGTACAAAACAAAGCAAAACACCAAAGGAGAGATTGAAAGGCACAAGGCAAGGCTAGTTGCTAAAGGCTATAGTCAAAAGGCTGGAATTGACTATGATGAGGTATTTGCTCTTGTTGCTCGATTGGA